TAATTCAAGTATTGTTAACGAGAATAACGTACCTAATTGTCTAGGGCCATATGCCTCTTACAACGCCAGTGTCAGTGACTTATCACTTTGTTCAGTTCATCTTGGTACATCCTTGTTAGACATTTCCTATTAATTGATACAAGATAAATGCATTTTGATGAGATGTTCGCTTTTTCTCCACTTATTTTTAGGGGGGAAATGACACCTGTACCGAGACAGCCTGGAAACTAAGCTAATATCTCTTCTAAACCTACATCATGCTCGAAAAAGAACTAACACATAAACAATTGCCTCCAAACAATGAAAAAGACTGAATATATGTCACAAATGGATAAAACAATGTTATTTTTAAACATTTTCCTCCTGGCTTTGCTATACGTGCGGGTAGGGCCGGGGCGGGAGGGGGCAGCAACTGTTCCGCCTCCCATCATCAGCAGGCTAGGTTGTTCATACAATTTTGTTTGTGTTAAAGGTTCTGTTTTCATTTAAATAAAAATATCTAGGCTTAGTTTTCATACAAACCAATGTAAGCAGTATAAAGTGGTAAGTCAGTATTGATTTATAGACTGGATCTCGGAACGGCTACGGCTGGAAGGAAAACCCACATAGCCCTGTCCTCCCTTCACTTATCAATACCAATATCTTCCAACACCAGTACCCTTTGAATTCCCCTCACATCCTCCCCTCCCACTCCCTATTTTTCAAGTAGTGCAGCCTCCCCCTCCCAAACATCGCCACAACCTCATCACATCCCCCACCCCCCAGAAAATATTTCTGCGGAAATTTGAACTGCGTGCGAGGAAAGATCGATCCTCTTACTGTACGCGGTTTCAAGAAAGATAACTCTAGCTTCTCTTGAGCGCTGTTTATGCAATGAAGGCAGAATGTTTGATTGATTTTCAGTTTTTTCTAAAAACTATTTTTAACTTTATCAATAAAAGTCTACCAGGTGCAAAACAAAATAGATAGCAACATTCACTCTACGTCCAAGCTTTCGGGCTTAGCCCTTAGTCAGGGATTGAATCATGGTCATCACCCATACGTCACATCCATAAGGGTGAAGACCATTCAATGCCTGATGAAGGGCTAAGCCTACCTAAGTAGGAACCTCCAATCAGAACACACCTATTACAACAGGGGTGTCCAATCAGACATAACCCATGACACAAGCAGTAATCTCCAATCAGAATACACTTATTACAACAGGAGTATAGTACAAAGCTACTACACAGGGCTGTAACATGTTCCCTGCCTCCCTTATAGTACATAGCTACCACATAGGACTGCTACATGTACCCTACCTTCCTTAGAGTACATAGCTACCACATAGGACTGTAGCATGCTCCCTCCCTCCCTTATAGTACATAGCTACCACATAGAACTGTTGCATGTTCCCTCCCTCCCTTATATTACATAGCACCACATAGGACTGTTGCATGTTCCCTGCCTCCCTTATAGTACATAGCTTCCACATAGGACTGTTGCATGTTCCCTGCCTCCCTTATATTACATAGCGCCACATAGGACTGTTGCATGTTCCCTCCCTCCCTTATATTACATAGCACCACATAGGACTGTTGCATGTTCCCTCCCTCCCTTATATTACATAGCTACCACATAGGACTGCTACTTGTTCCCTACCTCCCTTATAGTACATAAATACCACATAGAACTGTTGCATGTTCCCTCCCTCCCTTATAGTTCATAGCTACCAGATAGGACTGCTACATGTTCCCTCCCTCCCTTATAATACATAGGTACGACATAGGACTGCTACATGTTCCCTACCTCCCTTATAGTACTTCGCTACCACATAGGACTGCTACATGTTCGCTGCCTTCCTTAGAGTACATAGCTACCACATAGGACTGTAGCATGTTCCCTGCCTCCCTTATATTACATAGCTACCACATAGAACTTTAACATGTTCCCTACCTCCCTTATAGTACATAGCTACCACATATGACTGCTACATGTTCCCTGCCTTCCTTAGAGTACATAGCTACCACATAGGACTGTAGCATGCTCCCTCCCTCCCTTATAGTACATAGCTGCCCCATAGGACTGCTACATGTTCCCTCCCTCCCTTATAATACATAGGTACGACATAGGACTGCTACATGTTCCCTACCTTCCTTAGAGTACATAGCTACCACATAGGACTGTAGAATGTTCCCTACATCCCTTATAGTACATAGCTACCACATATGACTGCTACATGTTCCCTGCCTTCCTTAGAGTACATAGCTACCACATAGGACTGTAGAATGTTCCCTACATCCCTTATAGTACATAGCTACCACATATGACTGCTACATGTTCCCTACCTCCCTTATAGTACTTCGCTACCACATAGGACTGCTACATGTTCCCTGCCTTCCTTAGAGTACATAGCTACCACATAGGACTGTAGAATGTTCCCTACCTCCCTTATAGTACATGGCTACCACATAGGACTGTAGCATGTTACCTGCCTCCCTTAAAGTACATAGCTACCACATAGGACTGTAGCATGTTACCTGCCTCCCTTAAAGTACATAGCTACCACATAGGACTGCTACTTGTTCCCTACCTCCCTTATAGTACATAACTACCACAGAGAACTGCTACAGGTTCCCTACCTCCCTTATAGTACATAGCTACCACATATGACTGCTACATGTTCCCTGCCTTCCTTAGAGTACATAGCTACCACATAGGACTGTAGCATGATCCCTGCCTCCCTTATAGTACATAGCTGCCACATAGGACTGCTACATGTTCCCTACCTTCCTTAGAGTACATAGCTACCACATAGGACTGTAGAATGTTCCCTACCTCCCTTATAGTACATAGCTACCACATAGGACTGCTACATGTTCCCTGCCTTCCTTAGAGTACATAGCTACCACATAGGACTGTAGCATGTTCCCTACCTCCCTTATAGTACATAGCTACCACATAGGACTGTTGCATGTTCCGGCAGTATACAGTATAAATACCAAGAAAATCATACGGTAAGAGCGACGAGACTGTGATCGGAGGTCCAGGGTTCTTCTTCTTCTTCCCGTTAAGGAGTTGACTCATCAGATGAGTGTCACTACTCCAGGCTCTCCGGCGCTTATTGGCCATACAGCTTAAATCTTTACTATTTACATCTGTCTGTATGTACATCTAAAATCTGGTATTTACAGTTAAAATTCGGAGTCCTGTCTAGTGCCTGGGGATGAGTCCGGCCACATCAATGGTCTGTATGTGGTGTCGGAAACTGTCTACTGTTGGTAATCGTCTGATATCTGATGGTATTGAGTTCCACATCTTGATCGTAGCAGGGACGAATGAATGTTTATATGCGTCGACTCTGGTGCTTATTTGTCTGATGTTGTTGGCTTGGGAACTCCTAGTCCCCCTGCTGGTCTGTTGTAGGAGATGATGGACGGGGACTTCTACTAGGTTGTTGATGATTTTGTAGAACATGATGATCCTATTTCTCACTCTTCTCTGTTCTAGTGGTTCCCAGTTTAGTTGCTTAAGCATGGTAGTAACGCAACCAGGGTCTCGGGAGTAGTAATTCCCTGTAGCAAATCGTGCTGCCTGTCTTTGTACGTTTTCGATTTGTTGCTTTTGATGGTATTGGTATGGTGCTCAGACTACAGATGCGTATTCCAAAACTGGCCTGACTAAGGTGGTGCATGCCTGGGATTTTTCTGCTTGTGGACAGTTCCTGAGGTTACGTCTCAAAAGTCCTACTGTTCTTGAGGCCTTGGCAGTTGTCTGATCAATGTGATCCCGCCACGATAGGTCTTAGCTTATGTTTACTCCAAGGTACTTTCCACCTGGAACTGTCTCAAGGGTGTGGCCATGAAGTTGGTACTTGGTGTCAACTATTTTCCTCTTCTTCGCGATGTGGATGGCGGAAAAATTTTCTGGATGGAATGCCATTTGCCAGTCTTTTTCCCACTTTTCTAAAGCATTCAAGTCTTCTTGTAGGATCTTACTATCGTTAGATGTTTCTATGTTCCTGTATATCAAGCAGTCATCCGCAAACAGTTTGACAGAAGAGCTCACAATTTCAGGCAAATCGTTGATGAAAGTCAGGAAAAGTAGGGGTCCTATGACCGTTCCCTATGGAATTCCTGAATCCACGTCTCCCTCGGTTGACTTAGCTCCTTCTACCAAAACGTGCTGCTTTCTACTGCTAAGGAAGTTTCCAATCCAGCTTAGGGTTGAACCGCGGATTCCATAGTAGTGGAGTTTGTGAAGTAGACGTTGATGCGGTACCTTGTCAAAGGCTTTCGCAAAGTCAAGTAGTATGACATCCATCTGTTGTCCATTGGAAAGTCCTTTTGCAAGGTCTTGGATGGTTGCGATAAGCTGTGTTTCACAGTAACGTTTACTCCGGAATCCGTGCTGGGCGTCTGTAAGTATGTTGTGGGTCTCAAAGTGGTCCAAGATGGTAAAGTGGAGAATGTGCTCACTGACCTTACTGCAGATGGAAGTCAACGAGACTGGCCTGTAATTAGCAGCTTTACTCTTNATCTAGTAAATGAAACGAAGGGCTTGTGCCAGTTCGTTGGACAGATCCTTTAAAAATCTTGCTGGTACTGAGTCTGGTCCTGTAGCTTTGTGTGGCAGGATCCAGATCCAGCCCTGGCCACATAGCATTTTACTATCGGAACACTGTTGTTGATATAAATGTTCGGGTGATTTCGTTTCGATTCTTTTTTAATAAATGTTTAATTTTTGTATTGATTTGCTGGTAAATTTAAATCATATATATATCTTTCAGCACTGGTACGAGGACAGTATAGGGGAGTTATTTCCCCTTAGGGTAGTAAACAACAGAAGGGAAGGGAAACTAGATATTTTGAATTTTTAAGCAAAGTAAGCATCATCCAATCCCACTCCTCCCAAGTTTCTATCCCCCTATACCTCCTACCGGGTCCTCCTCATCACCCTCAGGCTTGATCGACCGGTTATTACAATCTAGTTCCGGCCGGGTATTATTTTCCAGGGTTTCTTTTGCCACTCATCACATGATTGTCACATCAGTCATATTTAGCGATTGTGAGCTGTTTTGAGTTGTGTACATCTTCGCTCCGTCATGTCTGGGATCCTAGATAACTGTCAGATCCCGAAGTGTGATTGTATCGAACTCGGGGAGAGAAGGAATGCCGTCGTGGCCATCATTTCAGGGGTGTTGGTAAGTGGAAGTGCAGATCAGCATCACGAAATGTCATGCATTCCATGTAAATATTGACAATCCGGCCTTCCAGTATATGATCACAAGCATGAGTCACAAAATCTAAGAAGAGTACAAATTCTATGTTCTGATACAGTAAAAGATGATATAAATTAAATGTAACCTGGACGTAGGGAGGGTACTCCAACAGTGTTAGAGGTTTACACGGCGAGATACTTTTGACAGGCGCCGTGTAACAGTAGGCAGATTTTGTTTAACGTCCTATTAACAGCTTAGGTCATCGACCATCGGCCTTCTTCGATTCTTCTTTTCCTTCCAATAAATGCGACAGAACTCATGAGGTATGAGTGCAATTGTCGTTATAGGAGTAGTAGTATAGGGAGACCGCTTGGTACAAGGCCTTATCTGGAAGATATTTATGATATGGTTGCTAAATTTGGCATACATATAGGCATATATACATGCATACACCTGTCAAAACAAACTAAGGAAATTTCAGCTCATGACTAATATGAGTCACATTATCTAAGAAATGGTGACAAGATGACTTTACCTGGTCATTATTCTCACCAGGTGTTCACCAACATGTCCAGGTACCTGATATGACCTCTCTAGATCTTGTGACATGTTTTGGAGATTCCAATGCATCACCAGGGTCTGTACAGCATAATACTGTTGATCAGTTGAAATTGACGAAATCCAGGTCAAAATCGTAACCCAGCATGTGAAGTTGTTACGTGGGTGAAGGGCTAAAATTCCAGGTGTAACCCGATGATTCACCAGGTCACTTGGCAGGTTGAGTATTCATAAAACCATTCTCATGCTCAATCATAGATTTTGTGCTCAATGATTAAGAAAACATTTGAGGAGACTTAAAGCGAGAAAAAAAGTTTTCAATGTTTACATTTGACTTTTTGATCGTTTGACATGATTTAAGTGAGTCACAAGAAAATCGGTTTGAGCACAAAAATTGACAAAAACCATGCTTGAGCATGAGAACAGTTTCACGAACACAGGCCCTGTTTTCATGCTGAAGCATGGAATCAGTGTAAATAAATAATGTCCTATAATTTTATGCGCCAGCTGTATTGAAAACATTATAATTTGTTTATTTTCAGTTCTTTACTGGCTGGTGGTGTGTCATTGATGCTGCAGCACTGGTTCCGGACAACGCTGACTTTAACCATGCATTTCATACATGTGGGGCCATAGGCACTGTGGCATTCTTTATGTAAGCTACAAAAGTCAAGACCTACATATTTCAGACAGACAACACTTTATATTCATTCCCCCCCACCCACCTTTGCATAACATACATGTGAGTTTGGCTGAGTGATTAACGCTATGGCCTTCTGCACAAGTCGCTGCAGCACTGAATTTTCTGGGAGTGTGTTTTCTCCTACCAACAGAATTCCAAAAGTTCAGTTTGAAACAGTCTAGAGTATATGTGCTACAGTGTCTGTGCTCATGTGCTGTAATAATTTAGTGTAATTTCACCATAAAAACCATTGAAAAAAAGTGCTGCTGGAAGCACTCTCCCTGCATATTAGAACCGATATACCGATACACATCACAAGGATGAACATGCACGCATGTGGAGCACTGTAATCTATAATCTTGAAAAAGAAAAATTAGCTTCTCTAAAGGTTATGCAGCACAATGTTTTGTACATTGTACATGTATGTATTATCTTTATACAGTGACGAAGTTTTGTTACAAGAAGGACAGCTCCGAAAAAGATAACAAAAAAACCCTGTGTACATCTCATAGCCTACAACGTTTGAATTTTATCTGGAGTTACCTCCCTAAAATATTTGAAATGGCAATATTTGTAAACATTGTGACAACAGTTTGGTATAACATTTAAAGAGTTGTGTGCACACATTACACCTCACCTTAGAACTGCAATAGACTACTTCTGGTCCTGTCAAGGTAACAAACTCAATACCTGAAATACTTACAGAAAATTACACTCATATCTCATTATTAATCACTCATCATTGTTCTGGTTTTTGGCTTCCCACCAAGCTTTGCTTAGAATAAAGATGGCTATATATTATCAAAGATCTTATTTTTAGCTCACCTGGCCCAAAGGGCCAAGTGAGCTTATCCCATGGTGCAGCGTCTGTCGTCCGGTGTCCGTCAACTTTTTCCTTTAAAACGCTACTAGTCCTGAACGGCTCAGAGGATTTTGACCAAATTTGGTCTGGAGCATCATTGGCCAAAGGGTTCTCAGTTTTGTATTTAAACGGAGGGTATGGTCTCCCTGGGGGCGGGGCCAAATAGGGGGAAAATAGGTAAATCTTTAAAAAATCTTCTTCTTCTCAACCAATAGAAGGATTTTGACCAAATTTGTCCTAGAGCATCTTTGGACAAAGGAGACTCAAGTTTGTATAAACGGAGGGTGTGGCTCCTCTGGGGGTGGAGGGATGGGGCCCAATAGGGGAAATAGAGGATTTTTTTTCTCCTACTAAATAATTGAAGGGATTTAAACCAAATGCAGTCTGAAGCATGATTAGGGACAAAAGTATCAATTTTGTATAAACTGAGGTGTGTGGGGCCCCTACTAGGGGCAGATGGGTGGGGCCCATTAGGGGAAATAGAGGAAAACATCAAAGATCCTTCTCCTTTTGTACCGATGAAGCGATTTTGACCAAATTTGGTCTGGAGCATCATTGGCCAAAGGGTTCTCAGTTTTGTATGACCGGAGGGTATGGTCCCCCTGGGGGGCAGAGGGGTGGGGCAAAATAGGGGGAAAATAGGTAAATCTTAAAAAATCTTCTTCTTCTCAACCAATAGAAGGATTTTGACCAAATTTGTTCTAGAGCATCTTTGGACACCGGAGCTTCAAGTTTGTATAAACGGAGGGTATGGTCCCTTCTTTGGAGCAGATGAGTGGGGCCCATTAGGGGAAATAGAGGAAAACATTAAAGATCCTTCTCCTTCTGTACCGTTGAAGGGATTTTAACCAAACTTGTTATAGAGAATCTTTGGGCAAAGGGAATTGAATATTTATAAATGGCAATTGTTTTAATAATTCACTTTTTTTTCTTCAGAATAAATTCTGTATCAAATGGACAGATCCGAGGGGAGGCTTACACAACGGGGTGTATTGGACAGACAGGTAAGAAATGGACAATTATTGGCTTGAATTTTAATATCTACATCATGCACTGAAAGGTTATGTCATAAACATTTATACAAAATTTGGAGTACTAAAATTGCCTGCCTGTATAGAGCTCTCCAGGAGTATGAGGTTGGTCTTTAACTAAATACTTGGTGGGTGAATGTGTCCTATGCAGGTTTTATTTTTAGCCTGAGTTTCCTCTGGCCCTCACACCAGACATCTATTTATCAAAATGTCTAAGTCTGGTGTCAGGGCCAGAGCAAACTCTGGCTTGTTTATTCCCTGATCTCGGTGCTAATAGTTTCTATGTTAATTTCATCTGTAATGTTAATTTGTTTCCAAGTTTAAAATATATTGATTCAGTACGGGAGTGTGTTATTATGGTATGGTGAATTGATTGATCGCGAAATATTTTAAACCACACTATATTTTTAAACCATCTGATAAAATTGGCTTTAAGCATGAAGATGAGTTAGTTTTCAATGGCATCAGTATCAATTAATTGTGACATTTTAGTTTAACTCATTCACTCCTGAAGACACATTTGAACTCTTCCAATTCAATGGTTGGGATAGTTCATAATGAAACTTCAGGGATGAATGAGTTAAATTGTTGCTCTATGAGTAGAGCACATTTTTGGCAATATTACCCTGCTGTCAAGAAATGTTAATGGCTTCATCTATGTAAATAGCCAATGAATGACCTAGATTTTATCATGTGATCAAGGGTTTTGTCATGTGATGCATTGAACTGTTACAGGTGCCCGTGTTTGGCTGTTCCTTGGCTTTCTATTGTCCTTCGGTTCTCTCATCGCTGCATCGTGGATTCTTTTTGGATTCTATGTTGTACAAGGTAAGTTTTAACTTTTGTGTCACAAGGAAACAATGAAACATCAATAGTCTACATTCCAGTTTTCAAATCAAAGATCAGGAATATAAAGTTTGAGCATTAATGAAAAAGAAATAAAATATGTACTGTAAAGTATTTGTAGTTTTGAAAAAACGGTACTAACTTTCTATTTCTGCATTCATCCCCGAGTGTTATCAGATTCTATGCTCCTGTGTATTGTATAGGAATAGTGTGAAAGATGGGAATTAGGTTGCGAGTCATGTGACAAAATGACAATAAGTTTCCCCTGGGGTTGGCAAAAGTGCTATGGAGAACAACAGAAACACATAATCAAACTGAGATTTTATCAAAATATGTTATTTTTTCTAGGTGATCAACAATACCAATGGCCAGGAATAGCTATCTTCCTGCAAAATGCACTGATATTCTTCAGGTAAGTGAGGTCTATTCCAGATAGAAACATATGAGGAGAGAGCTATAGGGGAGATGTAGGGAAGTATTGATTATTGATAATACAGGTATGAGTGGAGGATTGTATGTAAATGTGAGGATCGTTAAATCAAGGTATTTATTGTATATAAATGAGGGTCATTTAATCATAGTATAACAGTAAATAAATTTCAATCATGATATTATTTTGTATTGATGAGAATTTCATTATCTATACATAATTGTACTTTATTGGTATGTTTAATAAAGAAACATTTTTGTTTGCATTTGTATAAAATTGAAAAATTTCATGGATGAAAATAGGAACAATTAGGGCGGAGTTTTTGGAATTCCATACCATTTTTTAAGTAGAGTTTAATGTACTGATCACATTTTGAATTACAATTTATTCTTCTATTTCAGTTCCTTGATGTTCAAGTTTGGCAGGACTGAAGATTTGTGGGGATAGAAATTAATGGGCAAGAAAGAACCAAAAACTCTGAACTATGACTGCAGTTTTCTAGTTTGTGCATATGCTTGTTCTGAAAAAGGACAACAAAAGACACCTTTCTGGAAATGTAGAACTTTGCAGAGCATAACACTGGAAAAACCCCACAGAACATAACACTGGAAAGACCCTACAGAAAATAACACTGGAAAGACCCTACAGAACACAACACTGGCAAGACCCTACAGAACATAATACTGGAAATACCCTACAGAACATAACACTAGAAAGACCCTACAGAACATAACACTGGGAAGACCCAGTAAACATGCAACAGAGCATAACACTGGAAAGATCTTACAGAACATAAGACTGGAAAGACCCCACAGAATATAACACTGGAAAGATCTTACAGAACATAAGACTGGAAAGACCCCATAGAACATAACACTGGAAAGACCCTATAGAACATAACACTGGAAAGACCCTACAGAACATAATACTGAAAAGACCCAACAGAGCATAACACTGGAAAGACCCTACAGAACATAACACTGGAAAGACCCTACAGAACATAATACTGAAAAGACCCAACAGAGCATAACACTGGAAAGACCCAGTAAACATGCAACAGAGCATAACACTAGAAACACACAACAGAGCACAGCAATGAAAATGTACAACTGAAATGAGTTCTGTATACATGATGTATATACTCTCAGCGGGTAGAGATTTGTGGATGTATTTATTTGGGATCATTTTTGTGAATTCAACCATTTTATGATTGAAATTCTGGTGTGAAATTCCACCAGGATGTATCAATATAATCTAAGAAAGGCATGTACTGGTACTTAAAATAGAATTTCATAACTTTTATAACATTGACATCATCATATTAGCCTTACATCAAGTCATCATAAAATGTGTAATACTTAACCCAAGCTGTAGTATTTTCTTATGTAACTTAATTGCTTTTTGTACGAAATGTTTACAAAATAGCTATAATGTAGTATGCTTACCGACAGTGATAACTAAGGGAAGTAACTCTGTTAAATGAAATGTAAATTTATTTTTCCAAAAAAAGATAACATTTTAATAGAATACAGTACTGCAATAACATGTATATAAGTGAACAAGGAAAAAGAAAGTAGAAACTTTTAATCCAAGACTGATTGACAGAATTAGGGGGTGGTTGGGTTGGGGGTATTTATTACAAAGGGGGTGTAATCGGATGAAAACAGGACTTGTAGCAATTCGGGAAAGCGATTGTTATGTTTACCGTTTGTGTTTTATGTTTATTCAATATGTTAACACGGAGGAAATGTTCTCTCTCATCTAGATTTTTTATACCTGTATATATTGTGTATAAAAAACATTATTATTTCATTTCCTCAAGAACTGCATATTTTATCAAACAATTTCAATTTCTATATATCAACAGACCTAAATTGTTTATAACTCTCGGAATATCTTTAATCAAAATATAGAAACTGTCCATGTGTAGAAAAAATTCACGAGACCTCTAATGTGAACAGTTGCAGTGTACTGGCCAATTTCTGCCAAGTATGCTGATTATTAAGTTACCGTATAAGTTATTGATTTTAAGAAAAAGCACTGCCAAATTAGTTTTATTGCCTGCCGAAATGATTTGTCGGTTTCGTGGTCAGATAAACGCGTTTTGGAAAATCGAGCTGGGGAAAAGTCTGAAAGTTGAAATAAGTGAGGAAATCTGACACAAGAAATTACAAAAAGGATTTTGAATAGACCATAATATTAATGAGGATAACCCTGACTAATTTTGGAACGTTTGTGATAACAAGGGGGTTAATTGTAATGGAAGAGAATGCACCGATCAGTGCATGACAGCTCAAAGCACTGGACTAAGATATATTTTGACTGTCTGGCACGGTCAAGCTCTTAAAATGTATCTGTGTCTAGTGGAGTTGCCATAGAATTTAGGGCTAATTAAACCTATGTGTATCGTATTGGATTAAGGCCCTTGTAATCAAAGATGGCCTGGTCTTATCATTTGATTTATAAAACATGTTTCTGTTATCATGTAAGACTAAAGTTATGTAACTGTAATATGTTTGTTTGTTTATATGTACATTTTTGTATACTTTGTTGCTTTGTATCAAATTCAGTATTTAACTTAATGAAAACATGTGAATAAAGTTATCTGTCAAACTGATTAGAGTATGTTATTATTTTTGCTTCATTGTTAATGGTTGGCAAGGCCTTGGTATCCATAGTTTCTCCCTCAACTGGTCTGAACGGCTATGAGACTAAGAGCTTGAGCTTTTGTCACAGCATCCGTTGTCTATAAACTTTTTAGTTCAAAACCCACTTCTCTTGAATGGCTTTAAAGATTTCAACTAGAATTGGCTTGTAGCATCACTGGTTCAAAAGGGTGGTCGGTTAGCGCAGTGGTAACACACTCACCTTTTACCAAGGCAGCTGGGGTTCAATTCCTGATTGAATATGAAAAGGTATGGGGTCACCTGCCCGACCACCACTGGGTTTCTCTGGGTTCTCCATTTTCCTCCAATTCCCTGTGCACTACCATCCAAGCCAACAAGAGTTATTAATATAAATTGAAAGTAGTACTTGTTTCACGATTGTTGTAAAATAAATAATGGTAAGTTGTCTTTTAGTTTCAAGGGGTTCAATGTTGTGTTTACAGAATATGAAGCCCCCTGTGGATAGAGTGGCAGGGCCATACAGAACAAGAGCTGTCGGAGAACAGCATAGCTCGCCTATGTATGTTATTATAATACTGCAACTATCAATAGAAACACATGTATAGTAAAACGTTGATATAGTGCCTGTCATTTTATTTGCCACCTCACTTACCACCAGCATAAACATCTACATGTGAAGTGATTGTTAAGAAAATAACAAAGTCCAATAAAGCTTTTTTTGGACCTAAAATATGAAAATATGGTTCAACACATTGCTTACACTCAATACAAATACTTCGACCTTAAAATAGACAACAGCCTATTGATGGTGGTGGTCCAAAACTACCCAGCAAAACTTATGGAAATATGGTCCAGCACATTGCTACACATGATATAAATGACTTAAACTCATAATAGACAACTGTGTATTGAGTGTGATGATCCAACACTGGAAAAAACTTGCCAAAAAACTTTAACCTCAAATTTACTTAAGTCCAATTAAGCTGTTTTTGGGCCATAAAATATGAAAATATTGCCCAGAACATTGCTAACACTCCATAATGCTTCAAACTTAAAATAGACAACAGCCTATTGATGGTGGTGGTCCAACACTACCCAACAAAACTTATGGAAATATGGTCCAGCACATTGCTTACACTCATATAAATGACTTAAACTCATAATAGACAACTGTGTATTGAGTGTGATGATCCAACACTGTCCGGAAAAAACTTGCCCAAAAACTTTAACCTCAAATTTACTTAAGTCCAATTAAGCTGTTTTTGGGCCATAAAATATGAAAATATTGCCCAGAACATTGCTAGCACTCCACAATGCTTCAAACTTAAAATAGACAACAGCCTATTGATGGTGGTGGTCCAACATTACCCAACAAAACATATGGAAATATGGTCCAGCACATTGCTTACACGCGATATAAATGACTTAAACTCATAATAGACATCTGTGTGTTGAGTGTGATGATCCAACACTGTCTGGAAAAAAACTTGCACAAAAACTTTAACCTCGGAAGGTGGGACGCCGACGCTGGGGTGACTACATTCTATTGTTCGAACAGGTGAGCTAAAAATGGATGTAAAGACTAGTGAAAGGCTTCTATCCAAATTCAGTCTGAACCACCAAGGAGACGTGCCCCTTTGAGGATAGGACAGAGGGTGGGGGAGCCTCATAGGTCAAAAAGGGGAAATCTTTAAAAGACTATTTGGGGATACAATGTTGAATAAAGGAAGAGTTGTTTTTTTGGGTGATCGCCAGATAATCAAAATGGCGACCCCGTCCACTGGCTTGGGACATTTTTGACTAATTCAGAATTCCTCCATATCAACTTTCATCTAATGCCATTATAAAGTTCCTGTCGTCGCCTCACTAAATAATGTTTTAATTATTTGCGTCAAGAAAAGCTGAAATGCCACCATGGTCTCGAAGTCAACTTCGTAGACGCTTTGCCAATTTCTTAACTAGTTCAGATAACAAAAGAAAACATTGATCGATCCATGCCCATATAAAACTTCAATTGACTTCTTCATTATAATGATGTGGTAAAACAGTTGAGATATTAGTAGTATAGCTCGCAAAGCAGGGCTATCATGTTTGTTGTAAAATAACTATGGTCATTTAAGGACGTACCAGGTTTTGGTGGCGGAGGAAAGCGAGAGTACCCAGAGAAACCAGCGACCTGCGGCCAGTACCTGGCGACTGTTCCACTTAAGCTTCGAACCCATGACCCAATGGTGGAGAGCTATAGTGATCCAGAAGGTCAGACGCCACCAAGGCCCCTTGTCGCAAAATAAATGTGTCAAAAATTCAAAAGACCTCTTTTTACAGGACCACAGAGTCCAAAGTAATGACATTTGTCCTGTAACTTGTTGGAGGGCTGTCAATTAATGTGTTGAAAAAAAAAATTGCCATACTTTCTTCATGATCAAAATTCTTAAATTCAAATATCTAAACTCAACGTACTAGTAATATCGGACCTATAGAAACTTTGTCATGTCGCTCGATGGTTTTGTATGTGATGTTTTGTACTTCAATGGTAGATGGCAAGGTCCCTTTGGACTGGCACATGCTTGGAGAGGAAAGTATATCCTTGTGGCCCTCTGTCAATTGATTTTTCCAACTCCAAAATAATATTATAACCATGGTAATCTTGCTAGTAAAATACATGTGCTAGATAAAAGTTACATATATATTGATGCAATCGACATATATAAAGTTATATCACAGTTATCTTAGTTAAGAGTATCACAGAATTCATGAAGTGTTATGCAAAGGTATTTCATCAATTAAATGGCATGTGCCTAATATACATACATGCTAAACAATAGCAAACAATAAAAATTGACATAGTTATATACGCTAATATAGCATAATCTAAAATATTGATATAATTCAGATAAGAAGTCAATTTAGAAAGTAACCAGTTTTGGTTTACATGGAGAAACAAATTAAAATCTAAGACATTTCTATACAATATTTAGTAAGTTTTCGTTTGAAAGTGGTAAAATTGTCTATTTACTCTGGGGTGGATATTGCGTTATCTGTGCTGTAGCATTTAAGTGAAGTGGCACTAAAAACGATACTGTTGGAAGCACGGTCCCACTACAAACAGAACACAATACATCTCCAGCACACATGCAGACATACACACATAGGGAGATATTAGCCAGGTGGCACAGGACTAGAAGTTAGCGCCTGATAAGGCAGGTCCTGCTAATTCCTCAAAATTGCATTGATTAATGTGTATGCTAATTGTATCGATTGTATAAATTGTATATCTATGTACTGTAAAACGCTTTTGAGTGGCTTATTCTAGCTAGATAGGGCGCTATATAAAATGTTGTATATTACTTAATAGTGAAGATTTTTGCCTCGGTACAATACGGCTCTTTTCTTTTTACTGTTGATACTCCTGTTAAATAAAAGTCACCTTTTATAACAACCCTCTTTTGATCTTTTGTATGCTGCTTCTATATGTCTAAGCAAAATTCTGGAGTTGTCCGAGTCATAATTTGGGTTCCTGTAGATTCTTAATTTACTCCATATTGAATTGAATAGTTACTGTGAGATTTGTCTTACTCTGAATGGGCCCTTTAATTTCCGGAGCGTCTGTTGTCATTTGATTGTGATCTACTACTTTGACAATAACGCTTTACTTAATTTTGACATTTCCTTTGTTTTTCATTAAATTGAGTTCTTCCTGGTGTTACGTTATTTCAATTCCCTCTGCTTTGATTGTTCAAAACTGCATTTTTGAGAATTCGGATACATATGGCTGAAGCGAACAGGTTATCATGCGCTTTGTTCTTATTCTTTCTTGGAATTGTGTTCATTGACGGACTTCTTTATTTTCTAATCCGAAAATCCAAGATAGCCATTCAGGCCTCTGATTGACTTAGACTCTTTTACATTCTTCTCTAAAACTGCTGCAGCCACTCAGCAACAGACTTTGCGCAAATTAATGTTTCTTTAATTGTGAGGTCCTGATCAGGTATTGTTACTTTTTCTGTCGATTCAGTTGCACTGATTGACACAAAACTCAGTTATTAATGTGTTTTACAAGGAGTCCACCATGCAAGTGTTGTTATTCATTCAAATTTGAAAACCCAAGATGACCGACCTGGCTTCTGATTGGTGGTGAATTTTTCGACTTATTAGCAAGAATAGATTCAGCGATTGAATCAAAATTAAGTAAAAATGTTCCAACGTCAAGGCCCAGTATTGTTATCTCTGGAAAAGAATAATGTCAAAAGCTTATTAGTCGTTGCTGGTGTTGTTTTAAAAAAATGCATGTTGTATAAAATGAGTAAATCGATCAATCAATCAATCCACGGAATTAGATTAGTTATCTAAGTCTGTGATCAATCCAAACTTAGAAATAACCCAAAATCAGTCCCGCTACCCATGCATTATTCACTAGGTGGACCATTTTCCACGAGTGCATGTGAAAGCCACTTTTTTCTTTTTTCTTCAGTGGGACGCGTATCCTTAACTTGCTAATTAATATTTTGAGTCCGGTCAATCAAAGCAGGGTATAAATTGCCACAACACCGGTCTGTTCACCTTTGCAGAACCTGATTTGAACGTGTCGTTATCGGCCTTCTTCGTCGATGGACAGTTTAGTTAACGGCGTTAACTTTTCGAGGTATGCTCCAACAGCAAAATGGCGGCCACATCGAAGAAACCATGGCGAAATTTCAGGCGAAAAGCCGCAGATGAAAGCGACTCTGAAGACAATAAAAATGAACAACAAGATGACGTTATGGAAATAGAAGAAGAGAAAAGCGCAGTTGAAATCATCGAAAAGCCTGTGAAAAAGAAAAAGAAGAAAAAAGACAAGAAAGAATCGGCGAAACTTCTCAGTTTTGAAGACGACCACGACGTTGAGGGTACGAATGATTTCATTAATTCACTTTCAATTGAATCTTTGTCATAACATTTAAAAGGAGTTTAGCAGATCGAGTCATTTTTCGTGCTTTAATTAAGTTCTTACCTTCAGACATGAGTCATAGGTCCAGTACACTCTGCCGATTGAGCTATATTCACCTATAAGATTATAGTAGCTGTACATGTATTGAGCTATATTTTCTCAGATTTCAATTTTCATTAAATTAAAGCAAAGTCGCCTAAAACAATAAGGTTTATGGTAATGTTGACTACAAAAAGCATCATGATACCATCTTCTTTTAAAATTTCATCAATGTTAAATTTTCGATTTATTTACATCATTATTTAAAAAAAAAAGAATACTTATATTTAATGTCTTTTGTTATCAACCTCATGATACCATCTTCTTTTAAAAGCGACTTTGTTTCGTTTTCCTTAAAAAAGAAAATCACATGAAAATACAGTAGCTCAAAAGACCTATTTCAGATAGGTCAATAGAGCTATTATCAGGTTGCATTGGGCACAACGGCGCATATCGGTAATAATCCTGCATTTGGGTAACAGTTACCCATTTGAGGAACAATTTTATTGCTGAAATGGGGAATGAAGTGAACTAAAGCACACAAAGTTCTTTTAAACACTTGGAGCAAAAAAGGGCTTCATTCTGTATGTTAACTAAATCAAATAAATAACACAATGAAGTACATTTGTGCACAAAAAAATATCAATTCTGATGTCTAACTTTTTGTGAAAAGGACAAACCATATCACTGACTTTGATCTACATTGACTTCAGTGTGTAGTCATTGGGACTATCCAGTGCAAATGTGACAGGTGAGCATGATTTTTTTATGTGTGCCATTTATAGCTACTCTACAACACACAATAAGCAATGGAGGTGATACATTTGTCATTTTCACAAACATTTAAACAACTGATCATGAATTTACATATTTTTGTACACAATTGTACCTCGTTGTAATTTTTATTTGATAATGTTGAAAGAATGACGCCCTTTTTTGTTCATAATGTGTTAAATAACTTTGTGTGTTTTTATTTCACTTTATTACCCATTTCAGTAATAAAATTATTACTGAAATGGGTAAATGTTACCTGGATGCAGGATTAATATTTATTACCCATATGCGACGTTGTGCCCAACCTGATTATAGGTCATGTAGCTTTTTAACGGCGAGATTTTTTTTTATATTGCGTCGTCAGAGCTACGAACAGTCCTATGCCAACTAATGGAGCAAAATCAAAAGTGCCAATCTGTAAGATTGCATATAATTCACGCATCATATGAGTATAATGTTATCAAAATATTGCATAATTGTTGAAAAAACGAATCCTTACCAATAAAAAACTCTTTTACAAAATTAACCAAGTCTGTCTTGGGGAAAAAAATAGAAACGACCGCCATGACAGATCACACGTGATGTTATCTCAATTATCCTTTCTATATATGGCCAAATATAGTATAACTGCTGATGCCGCCATGTTAAGTACAATTTCCATATTGGGTCATGACACCCATATTTGGACGTCTGATCTATATCGGAAGAGAGACGAACTTTCCAACATGGCGGTCAATTCAGATTTCGATTGCGCTTGCTACGTTAACTTGATAATTTAACGACATTTAAGGCAGAGTTGTGCAGGATATTAAGAGAAATAGTTAATACTACAACCCCATATATGTATGCAGAACAATGTGCTGTCAATTAGTTCTTAAATCGGGCCGGTGTGATTCACACAGGGCTTGCTCCATTACAAGGCATGTGATGGATTTAATACCCGGCCGGGGCAGAGGAGGCCGGGTATTAATATTAGTACTAGATTCAAACATGACAGGATACTTTCTATACACAGGTCCGGTATACACGTGAACTAGCGCATCTAATGATTTTTTTAAAAATTAAACCTATTTTAAATCGGATTAAACACGTTGGACACAACAGCGTATATGGGTATATATATATATGTTCTGTAGAGCAGCTTTAAATATATAGCACACAGAAAAAAACGTGCTCACCTGTCACATTAACACTGGATGATCCCATTGACTATACACACTGAGGTCAATGGAGAGCAAAGTCAGTGATTTAGTTCGTCATTATTAGCTCACCTACTCCCAAGGTCCGTCCGTCTGTCAACTTTTCCTATAAAATGCTACTTGTCCTGAACGGCCTAGTAGATTTTGACTAAATTTGGTCTGGAGCATCCTTAGGCCAAGGAAACTCAATTTTGTATAAACGGTGGGTGTGGCCCCCTCCCCCTAGGGGCAGAGGGGCGGCAGAAATAGAGGTAAAACTTTTAAAATCCTTCTTCTACCGTCGGGGTTAAGGGATTTTTATACTAATTTAGTCTGGAGCATCCTTGGCCCAAGGGGACTCAATTTTGTACGATGATTGTGCCATGTAATACATGTACACTTCCAGCAATATATGGCTATTTCAACTTCAATTTTGCTAACATTTCCAGTTGAGAAACACAGGCCCTCTGTGCCTCTTGTTACAAAATGTAAATCATAAAAATCGATAATTTTTGTGAACAAATGTACTTCATTGTGTTATATATTGGATTTAGTTGAAAGAATAACGCCCTTTTTAGGTCACCTGAGACAAAGTCTCAAGTGACCTATTGCGATCGCCTTTTGTCTGTCGTGCGTCCGTAAACAATTTACATTTTCGACTTCTTCTCCGAAACCCCTGAACCAATTTCAATGAAATTTTGCAGGGACCTTCCATGGACAAAGATCAACAAAAACAGTGGCCGGTTTAGTCCCAAGCCCCCAGGGGCCTGAGGGGCGGGGCCAAAAAGGGTCAAATTGACTAAAATTTCAAAAA